GTTTTCCTGCTAGGACTGTCTCCTTGCAGAGCTGAAAAATTGCCGCGGCAGCCGAAATTTTTAAGAGCATCCTTTTCACTCTGTGACGTCCTTTGATGGTGATTATGGTGAGCATATCTGCTGTCTCCACTGTCACACACAGCTAGTGGAATGCCTTGTGGCTGGGGCCTCTGCCGTGGTCTGCGTGGGGGTGGGTTGGGGCACAGCGAGTTTTCTTATCTTCCCCTCTGATTATTCATTGTTTCCATACGTGTATATGTGTTATCTTGTACTTACGACTACAGCTTGTTTATGTTTATACCTACTCAGCGGCGGGCTAGCAGGCGCACATGCGTAAGGGTATTAACCTTTCTGTCTAGCCTCGCACGCCGCTGAGTGGGCAAACTTTCTCGTGCAAATAAAAATTATTATTATTATTATTATTAGTGAGGTCCACTGTTGAAAAAATAGTGCCTCCAAGCACGCTCACCACAAAATTTGTTACAGCCCGCATCAGATTTACCGCCAGTTTTTCAACAGTGTTCAGTGTTGTGTCGGCTCGATTATGCCTTAGCTTTGGAGCATCGGGAGTTCTGCCTCCACTGCGGTACACATTGCAAATGGAACAGGGCTAGCCTTCAAAAAATGCAGTGCTGCATCTTTTTTCAGATCCAGGTTCACCGAGAGTTCTTTATGCCTGCTCATCCCTGGGTCAAGAACTTCCTCATGTGTCAGCAACGCGTCATCTAGGGTCTTGCAGTAGAGTGCGACTAGTATTTCCTTTTAGGTCACCATGGGTTGGTCCTGCACCTCTTCCATGGCTGTGGCCCGGTAAGTCAGCGCGCAGGCCTGCTGGTGAGCAAGTTTGTTGCCCTCTACCACGGAGTGGGCAGGTACCCATTTAAATTCTATGGGCTCCTTTGGGGGTCTTTTGTTTTTGAGCACCTGCAGCGCTTTTCAGGGCACCGAGCCCGACTGGAAGCTCCGGTATGCTTGGTGTGAGTCGGTGATTACCCTGGTTCTGCCCGGCAATAGGTAACCCCGTCTTGTTCCGCAATGCTTCGATTACTCTTTTAGCAAGTGTATATATGTACCAGTTTTATTTCACACACACTTGTTCTCACTGTTTATATTACTCACCAGCCCTGTAGGTATCAGCCACCTGTCTGTTCATATGTTGATCTTGTATTTTTCATGTACTCCTCCTCCTCCTCCTCCTCCCTCCCTCCCTCCCCCCCCCCCCCCCCCCCCCCCCCCCGCTCCTTATGTAATGCCCCTGTTGGGACCTTTGAAATTACAATAATAATAATAATAATAAAAAAAAAAAAAAAAAACTGCCAGTAACATTGGAAGAATTTAGGAGCGGGGGTGGGGCCAACAAGTTTGAATTCCTGTGCCGATGCAACTTCACACATAACTTGAGCACATTATATAACATTCCCACCCATCTAATCGGCATTCCTAATAAGTTTTATTTCCATATGCTCAGTGACAATGTAAGCCAGTTTTAGATACTATACTTTTATAGTATTACTTTTCCGTACTTCTCAATGCAACGTTTTCATGGCGAGCATACTGCTTCCCAGATCACGAGAGCCGCGCACAAGTAGCGAGCCTCAGCTTGGGCATCTAGGACATAGTACGTAGCTGTTGTGCGTCTCGTACGCACTGCAAAATCTGCGTAAAACGATCCAAACTTCTTTCAGCAAGCGCTGTGACCCAAGGGGGTATCGGAGGTCGAGTGTGTTAGCGCACCGCAGGTCGTACGGCGAAAGGTCCCGCTGCCAGGGATCCCCACCCCTACCCGTTTCGATCTGTTGTGAGGCGCAGACCCCAGGCTAGCAGTCGTACTGTAGTGGCTGAATTTTCTCATCTACAGCCTGAAACGGTGTCGCCAAAACCTAGACAGGCCGATCGCACGCTATTTAAAATAGTGAGCGTCTTATTTTCTTCCGCTGTGCCCAAAATGACGACAGTGCATGCGATTGAAAGACCAGCGGATAGGCGGGCTACCACTCTTCGAATCGTTCGGGAGTCGGGCACCTGCATTTGCACCATGATCGAAGAACCAGAAAGAAGCGATGTCAAATCACAACGACACAGAATCACTCCAAGCTTCCTTGCTTGTGGCCTTTAGCTTTGTGCGCCGTCAGCCGTATCAACGCTAATCAAAATTAACAACGCCTGCCGCGCGCGTTCCGCTGCTCATACTATGGTGGCTGGCTCATACGAACAACAACAAACAATCAGGGTACTTTGCTGCAGAAAGTTGCTTCCGCCAGTTTTAGCGAAATGCGGAGCTCAACTCCTGCTCAGCCGACGTTATTCAAGGTATTGAATTTGGCGTAAGGGTAGTGTGTTTGGGGTATGCGAAAAAGACTACGGTATTGGCTATGGCGTACGCCGAAACGACTACGGTATTGATTTTGGCGTACGCCATAACCACTACCGTAGTCGAAGCGGAGGGGTAGTGAGATCGGCGTCCTACACCGGGCTTTCAGCATCCCTGCCAAGCACGCGCGCTCGTGCAGTGCAAGCACTGCTCTGGGCCACATGCTCGCGCTTGTAGCATCGGCTGCGTCTGGACCGAAGCTGAAACGAAGTATAGGATCCCTGGGTTCTGCAGAGCGAGCTTTCGCTCCACGTGCGTCGAGCTGGGTGTGCGCTTTAGCCCACTGAATTAACTTAATTAAAGATATATATATATTCTCATAAGAAACTGTTAGTGTTGCGAGTTATTTGAAGCAAAAACGTGACATTTTTAAGCATGACGACGGTTCGAACAGTCAAGCAGACGAATACCATCGATGGTAGCAGACGGCAGAGATTGGCTTGCTATTTGCGTAATTTAATAACCTTCTCAGCAATTGCTGACGACTGCAAATTCTTAGTATTACATCGAAACCTCATAAAAGTTTCTTTAGAAGACACTTCACACTATAAAGCTTCAAAAAGTTTATTTTTATTCGTACCTTCCATGGACTTGCGTGTGTTGCCTCGTGTTAAGCAATGGCCGCCGGTGGAGCCACCGTCGGGCTCCCGAGCCACGATCCAGCCTACTATACACTCCGTGCGGGAACTATAGGGGGCGCTTTGAAAAACGCGCGCAGCGCCGCTAGCGGAGGAGCTGGCGTTCGACTGTGTGGCGCGTTCAGCAGCCTGCGGCGCCTTTTCGCATGCCAAGCTGTGTCGCCGGAAGCGCGCACGGACGAAACTTTTGCTTTTTGAGCCGATAAGTCGAGGGTGACGTTGCATGAGTACTGGGGTAGACCTAAGAAGGGCATCTAGCTGTTCTCCACTTCTTATATATTGAGTTTGAGTCGTTATTAGGGGTAATTTCTCTAGTTGCGGCCGAAAAAGGAGTTGGAGCAATTTTCCGAAAAACAAGACGGCCGCCACCTGATTGCTCTGGGTGGGAAATTTATTTCGCTCGTCGCTGTAAACCTAGGACTGCTGGAACGATGATATTTGGAGGCGAGTGAGATGTTCACTAAGTTTGTGCACAAAGAGTGCCAAGTTTCTTTAAGACAGCAGGTGTGAAAGTTAGGTTTCTAATGAATAAAGAAATAAAGCTGTACGGGATATCCAATATTCGACCCAAAATGTTGTGTTATAGCGGGCTGTGTAAAGCGCAGATTTGGGCACACAGGTGCTTGGTCTTGACAGTAACATGACACAGTACTTATTATACAAAAAAAAAAAAAGGTGGCATAGGGAAACCAGGTGAAAATTTGGTTTGAGCGGCGTAACTCAATGGGAACCGGTTTTGACCATGAAAAGGCTGTCAAGAGAATACCACTGGTCGGGGGAGGTGGAGACTTTAGAGGTAGGAAGGGACTAGGGTGGACTGTACTTCCAATTGAAACAACTTTACGAAAGGTGGTTCCAAAGCCGAGAAAACAAAGTTGTCGGCCAAAACACGGTTTGCTGTTGTGTAATAACCTGTTGTGCGAGGTGCTGATTTTCGGCGCACGGGTACTTTGACATGACCGTCACTTGGCACAACACTTATTATAACAAAAAGAGTTGGCATAGCGAAACCAGGTGTAAGTTTAGTTTGGGCGGCGTAACTAAATGGGAACTGGCTTTGACCGTCAAAGGCTGTCAGATAATACCACTCATCGTGGGAGGTGCACATTTTACAGGTAGGTAGGGACCAGTGGGGTAATTCCAGTTCGAACCACTTTGCAATAGGTGGCTCTAAAGCCGAGAAAAAAAAAATGTTGTCTACAGAACTCTTGGTGTCAGCGTTTCCACATCCGAAAGGAGGCTGATCAAGAAAGAAAGCACACCACATAAACTTCCATACTCAAACGTCGATTCTCCAGTGATTCCGAGTTTTATTGTTGTTTTCTTTAGATTTATATTTGTCACTTTTTTACCGTTCGAATCTTTCTTCATAAAGTACAGATTGCGTGCCATACTTGTCCGGAATAATCATCGACACGTACGATGGGGACGAAACTTCATTGGAGGGCATTCCTCCAACGAGATTGGCACTGCATACCCGCGAGTGTGGGATGGCGTTTCAGTTCGTCCCATCGGCGCCAACAGATGTAGGCGTTACTGGTACGAAAACAAACGCAAGGCGCAAAGCGGCAGTGTAGCTAGAATATGTCAGCCGTGCCGACACAGTGGCAGACATGATCGGGAGACCAAATTTCTCGTGTCGTACGGCACGGCTCCATCGTTGTCGCTTTTCCACAAAACATCGGCGAGGTGAAAAACTGTGAAACTTTGTCTCCACGAGATACGACGCATAACTATTGAAGCACTTAATGACGCAGCACAGGCAGCAAGCACTTCATGCTGTGAACCCAGCGCAACCGCACCACTGCGACTTGAATGCGTACCAACGTACGCGGCCTTGCCTTTTTGTTTTTTGCCTTTTTGCAGAAAGAAAGAAAGACGCAAGCAACGCGCTAAACAACGTGCCAATGTATACGTGCATGAAATAGCGCAAATTTGAATATCACATCGGTAGGGCACGCGTACATCGCAGGCAGGCAACTATTACCAGATTTTAATATGGCTCAGTTTTTATTCAAGGCGGTGTGTCATTCTATTTGCCCTTCTTGCGTCCCGTTAACCGCACCGTCGACGCGATGATCAGCAAATGCGCAGCGGCGGTTGGTTTTTTCGTCCCATTGAATGCCGCTAATGTGTGTCTCCTCTCTGACTTTGAAGACTACCTTGTGTCCTTGTGCTTCGAGCACTTCCTTAATTTTCTGCCAAAGAAATAGAAAAAGCATAGAAGAAGAAAGATTACAAATGTAAAAATGACACACACCCAAATGAACCCAATCAGTGCCAGGTTCAGACTCATGACCCTTAAGTGATGCTGAACCGAAAAAATCAGCTACTGAAAGCGTGGCTCTATAGAATGCACATTACTTTCGTGAGTCTCTGGCAAACAGAGCAATTTTTGCACACACTAAACCAGCTTGTCTCAGGGCCAACGCCCCAGGTGTGTTAAACACCTTTAAGATGCTGGTGAATGTCCGAAAAATTGGGTGCAGCCTCAGGGGATCTTAACTGCAGAGAGATACTTTTTCAAGTAGCACGTTTACTGACGGTAAGTAAAAATACAGTAAAACTACACAGAAACAGCAAATACAGTCAACGTAATGGATCACGCACAATGGAGGAATCACGAGTCTGCAAAGACTGCTCCACTGCCTTAGATATTCGACAATTCAAAGATACTCATTCGCAGGGGCAGCTGCCTCCGCAATTACGAAGATCACGCACGTTTTTTTTCTTGTACATATTTTGCTTAATGCATATGTGATATCTAAGGTCAAGGAATGTATCTCAAAGTAAAATGCATTCGTAGAAGTAAGAATTACTCTATATTGCCGCTAAGACAATCTCGACTAAAGTAAATATCAGTGCGGGGAACCTCTCTCAAGAATTATGTTTTTCTCACTTCAAGTGGGTACTCTTTCACACCCTTTTTGAACCCTTATAAAGTGAAGGGTGATCGACGCAACAGCACTCTGTCTTGCAATTGATAAGGGTGTATTCGGTCGAAATAAGGGTGTAGTCATGAGGTAAGCGTCGGGAACAGTATTTAGCATAACATTTCTCAGTGTGAGAATTTAATTAATCTCACACCAGCGCCTATGTTAGCACTATACACCCAACATTACTTTTCGTCGGTAAATGAAAATAACACCAATAATTTGCTATGATAGGCTGGCGAATCAGCCGATAAAGGCAAATGGAACATTCTAATCAGTGCGAGAATCGTGCGCAGGCCAGTCGGATGACTTGTCTGTCCTCTACAACTAAAAAGAAAAGAAAAAAGAAAGACCAGAAAACAATATTTGGAACAGTCTATTTTCGCAAAACCATAATGCAAAACGAGGCAGCATGTTTTCGTTTTTCTTCTTCTTCTCACTGTTGTGTTGTTCAAATAAAGGTCATTTGCTTGGTCACTAAGCCTGACACCAGTCTCAAGTCTTATCAGGGACTAGATAAGACATCAGCTGGTGTAAACCCCTGTCTCAGAACTTACCAGAGACTGATGTAAGACTTCAGCTTGCGATAGACCCTATCTCACGTCTTATCAGAGACTGTTGTAAGACCTGAGATGGTGTAAGACCTTGGTCTCACGTCTAGTCAAATACTAGTGTAACACCTGCCACCACTCTCAAGGCAAGACATCGGCTTGTGTAAGCCCCTGTCTCAGATTTTACGAGACTGCGCTGAGGCCTGAGCTGGTGTAAGACCCTGTCTCAGCTCTTATCAGAGACTGGGGTAAGACCTCAGCTGGTGTAAGACCCCAGTCTCGCGTCTTGTCAGAGTCTATATCGGTAAGACCTGACACCCTGTCTCAACCCTAATCAGGGACTAAGAAAGACATCAACTGGTGAGTCCCTGTCTCAGGTCTCACCAGTGACACCTAAAGCCGGGGTCACACTGCTCATACATCCTACAAAAGACAGTCTTCAAGCACGAGTCACCGCAGTATCCGTGGTTCGAATGCCGCATGCAAAGTTTTCTCCTTGAACTCATTGCCATGCGGCATGCGGTGACTCGCCTTCAAATCTGTATGCAGACGGTCGTTTGTACGATGTGTAAACTGTATGACTCTGGCTTTAAGACCTGAGCTGCTGAGTGAGACCCCCGTCTCGGGTTTTACACCAGCTCGCCTGCATGCACGTTGACTGGTTTTTCGTACATACCGAGCCTGACACAGTCAACCCCTAAATTCTGCCCTCAATCGCCCAGGGATACTTACCGGACTCTGTTTAGCAGTGTCCTGAAAGAATAAATTACATGTGAATTTGACAAGAGCGAAGATCCTGAACTTAGCTAACGAGCGGTGGTGTCGTACCTTCTCTGGTTCGACCTCCACCTCGTAGGGAACGAGCTTCGGGTGGAAGCGAACGGAGTTCACCTCGGAGGCCAGAAACTTGGCTCCGAGGATATTTTTATCGCCGGTGAGGCTGATCTGAGGCACAGAGGGTGAAAGAGAAATGGCGGGAGAAAACGAAATCGAGAAATTGGTTTGATAGCTTTCGTTCATATTCATATATTTGTTAAAAAAAGTTTTTCCCTTTAAACAACAAATATAAAAACTTGGGGGACGCTTAAACACGATAGTGTTACGGGCCCCGTTCTGAAAGCCTTCTCATATAAACCCGCATCGGTTCCTAACCAGTGCACGCGTGTGTGCATGGTCTAGTCGCTAGCGTTACGCGTCAAGTGACGTAATGTGTTGAACCTATCGGCCCTCTAAATTTAGCGGAAAAATTTCCGCTAAATTTGGCGGGTTAATTAGGTTATGATGTCGCAATCACGTGTGGCGTCACACGTGGCTGCGAACGTAGCATTATGGGAATTTTCGGTCCTACCGACGCTAGATTTTCTGCGGCACAAGCTTTTAAACGCTATCGCGTTAAAAAATAACGCCGAAGACTTTTAAGTGGACGCTGAGATCAGTTTCAAGTCCCACCTCTGACGTCATATGGCAGCAGTGGCGCTGCTTGCGGCAGGCACGGCACATGCGCAGAGGAGTCGCCTCTCGCAAAGCTTAGGCCTTTTTTGTTCACTCTCGTATCCAGCCACGTAGTAGTGAACAAATCCGATATCCGAGATTAAACAAAGCAAACCATATACAACCTCAAACAAGTGAAAAAATACTGAAAAGGAAAAACAAGAATAATAGACAGTCACGATTAAAACGTGAGCTTCTTCCTGTGGCGTGGCGAGAGTAAAACAGTGTTTTCCCGCATACCTGAAGTTCCGCGGTTCAAGATGGCGGCGCCCGCGTACCACACGTGCCGGTGTGGGCAAAGCGTGAATATTCGGAAACAGTGCATTGGTATTATGTACCCGCCCCCGCACTGCAATTAAGGGCACCAGACATCTGATGCCGGGTGTATAATAGATTTGTCTGTAATGCAAAGTTTGATTTCTGTTTTCCAGGGTCATGTGCTATTTATTATGTTCATTCCTTTCCGAATATCTTTTTTTCCCAGGTGAACGAAAACCGCACGCAAATTAATGCTATCATGGGCATCTGGTTAACTGGTAAAGGCGAGAGTGTTGTGATTATGAATGCTTAAAAAAAAAGAATAGTAATAGCAGCCACTCAACTAACAGAAGCATCCAAACCGAACCTTCTGCCGAAAATCTAAGAAAAACAGTATGACGCCACAACCAAGCTTAAACCCGCTTTGCGTTCTTGTAGTTGAAGAGGAAAAAAGTCCTAAATGTGTGTTGTTGTTCTTTTCACAAAAACAAGCGCGTTAAAAACAAATATAGCCATGTCAAGCCTTATCAAGGTAAAGTTCTTATTCAAAACGTTCACAAGCAAAAGTAAAAAAAAAAAAAAAAAGCGTTCCATGGTTCTCTTTGGAACTTCATTATCACAATCGCTTCTTTGCACTCATCGTCAGTCCTTTTTTCTTTTCCACAAATCCCATTGCAGACTATCAGGCTTGGGTGACAAACTTCTAACCTTCCTGTCAGCAAACCCAATCAATCAATAAGTCATTCATTTAGTTATTCAATCAATACATTGATATATCAGTCTTTCAACCAATCAATCAATCAGTTTTCCGAGTGTCACATAAGCGGGCTTCAAATAATATAATGCACAGGCGTGAACTTAAAGCAGTTTGCCAAGAAAGGTATATACACACTCACGGCAGAGAGCAAGGCCGAGATTGCTGCTGACCCTCCTCCCCCTCCAATGGCCGTGATGGCTCTGCCCTTGTTTGTAACTATGGACGGCGCCATGGACGACATGGGCATCTTGCCCGGAAGAGGCAGGTTCGCAGCCGAAGGTTCCAGGCGCAGGGCGTTCTTGGTGCCTTTCACCGAGAAGGCGTGCATCGCGTTGTTGAGCAGCAGACCCTTGTCCACCATCACCATGCTGCCGAACCTGCCGAGGGGACAACACGAAAGAAAATCCTACGTAGGCCGCTGGGTCTCGAGATACATTAGTGAGTCTTGACGTTAAGAGGGAGCGCTCCTCCAAGCCCCATAGAGAATACACGCGATTTTCTGCCATTTTACGAAAATTCTCATTTAATAACCGTTACTCCGATTTTTTCAAACTTTTTTGCTATAAAAAGAATGATTCTTCGTCCAACTATCCCTCAGAGCGTATTTTTCATAAAAACATCTGTTATATTTTATATTAAATCGTGAAATCGGTCGGAATCGGCTGTTTTGACATGTTTACGTTAGAACGCGTTTCTAAAAACCTGTGAATTTTGAACTACAAATGTGTCTTGTGGGATATCTGCGGAATTTAACACGGAATTCAATTATCTTAAAATTATAGCTGTAAGTACATCCGTTCTCTAACTACATCGAAAAAACTGAACCAAGGTGTTGTGGCTTGTTTTCCTCGTTTGGACGGTCAAGACTAGTTCGACGAGCGCCGCGTGAGGGCGCCACCATTTCGCCACGCACACTGCTCTGATTTTGTATTACTCCGCGCGCATGCGCTCTTCAGTAACGCGCTTGTGGTGGTCCAGGGACGGCAAGACCCGTCCAGACAGAGTGGTTTTGTTTCTTGGGGTGAGGTGTCAGGCGGATAGCTGTGCGTGTTTTCATAACTAGAAAGGCCGTTCTCGCGGCTATGGGTCCAAGGAGGTATAAATATGGCAAGCGAAAGGTCTCGAAGTCGCAAATAGTTTGCACGTAAGCGACCCTCTGCTGAAACTACGGATGGTGAGGTTTCAGGTGAGATTGAGTCATTGTGTCGTAGCGCTGCGAGAACTAATTGACTCGGGGTGTTGAAGATGCCGCTTGGGAAGCCATGCAACAGGCCGGAGTGGAAGAAGCGAGGCGCGCGAAGGAATCTTCGCGCGCCTCGCTTAGTTTAGTGAGAGAATATTGTTTTCTTTTTTGCTGGTAAGTTGTTGTTGTTGTTGTTTTCCACTGATATAAATGCCAGATTCCGTCCACAATAGGAGTTCTTGTTTTGACGATATTAGGCTTAGCTGGACGTCGGCTCATAAAGACATTTCGTCTTTCTCCCTTACCTTTTTGATCAAGATGAGGTCATGTTCTCCAACTTTCGCGTTCTATCCCAACAGCTAGCGTCATACTCTCACGAAATTTAACCTTTTTTGCGGTACGTATAGTTAATGTGTGACGCGGGCCGAAAAGCGCGGTTCTATTTTCTCATAGACGTACGAGAAAAACAAAAACGATGATAGTTTGCTTACGTTAACTGTGTAGCGATCCGTACACCAAAAAGACCACTTACTGTCTGTTGATGGTTGAGGTAACGACCAGCACGTCGCCGTCTGGGGCCCACACGCTCAAGGTGGCGGCGTCGCCGTCTTCCATGAAGGAGTGCCGCAACCCATACTCCGAGGCGCTTTTGAGCGGGCCCGTATCAGATATCAGCTTTTGAATGGTTTTCGCGTGGTCCGCGCTGGTTAGGTTTTTTAGAACCTACACGTTTTGTCAAAGATAACAGAACGCACCAATGAGCTCGCACTTCAAAAAATCAAAAACGAAAAAGAACAATAGGGATTCTGCCTTCTCTGAAATGTGAACAAAAGCAAGTTTAACATTGCCCGTACGGTGTAATCTACCGAGCCTCAATATAGCGAGATATTGCCATAGCGAAATCCTCGCTATTGCGAAGTCATCGCTATTGCGAAACCCTCGCTATAGCGAAACCTCGCTATATCGAAATAACTCGCTATAACAAAATCGGCTGCTCCTCGAAAAAAACAAAAACAACCTTCGCTGCCTTAGTATCTTAGCTGTCTTTGCCACCATAGCCTCTTGGTCTTAGGTCGATAGTCGCATGAGAGCTGGCCCAGCGTTCACAATCGCAAAAGAAACATTTTTTCCCTTAAAATTTGTAAGTTACGCGAACGTATCGCGTGACTATATGCGGCCCGCGCGTCGCTGTTTCCCTCCCTAAGGTCACGTGACATCCAGACGGCAATGGATTGGCTCCGATGGCTCATATAGAGTCCGCTGCGGTGTAATGTGAAACAGCAGATCATTTGTTTCATCATATCTCGAACAAAGCTCGCAGCAGTTATCTAACATAAACCATACCAGATGTCCAAACATGGAGCAGACAACAGGGGACCCCGCGGGTACTGTCACTTATGAAATTATGAAGAACTGGAATCGCTCTCGAGGAGTTCGAGCTTCGGCGAACTCACCTTGTCCATAGCAGGGGTATCACCAAGCTCAGGGAGCTGTGCCAAAGCGTGCTTCAACGCTTCTACTAAACTGCAACAGAAAAAAAAAATAATAACGCACGATTATATTGCTTTCAATGGCCGATTTCTTTTCTTTTTTTACGATGGATGAATATGCCGAAACACGTTAAAGCACACGAAATCGGCACCGTTTTGACGCCAGTTCAATGCTCGAATCATTGTGTGCAAGAAGGGAGGTCTGTTAACTTCCGTTGCACGCGCTGTAAATCTGCCATATCACGTTATCCCATTGAGAAAACCATCTAATAAAACTCACACTCATAAGCTCCTGGGCGTTTGCTTCCCCATCGATGTACTCCGAACACCATTCATCGATATTAATTTAATCAGTACAACCAATGAGAAAATGGAAAGACGATAGATAAAGCCAAACCATCTTAGTGAAAATATCGAGGACACCTAAGCACTTTTTATGAGTTGAGAATGCCAAAGCAGGAATGTCGTTCTTACACTCCCTTAGTTGGTGTGTGGCGTAATGGCGTGAACGGCCACCTTTCGGCACTGCCGAGGTAGTGGCCGACGGTCGAGCGCGCGCTCTCGTGAAGTGGCCACGCCGCGCTGAGCTCGGCCGTACAACCCCTGCGGAGTTTGCCCGGGCGGGCTCTGGGGCCAGGCCCGCAACGCCGCGCATCGCCGGGCCGCTGCGTGCAGTGCGCCGCCATGGAGAGGGCTTTCCTGATAGCGGTTTTTGGAACTACTCTGCACGACAGCCAATGGGAGCCTCGTTCCTTGATGACGCGCCCAGCGAATGAAAGCCTATCCATCAGAAATCGGCTTCACTTCGCTCTTTTTGGAGAGGTGAATTTAGCCGCCGTTTTGCGTGGCTTTTTGCGCGGCTTCACAGCTGGGGAGGCTTCAGATCACGGCTTCAGCTGGCTCCATTGGGACGGGAATTTAGCTGCCGTTCGGCGCGGCTTAAAAGCTGATGAGGTCGGCTCGCTCCGTGGGACAGTTCATGCTTTTGCATTAAAATGGCATTCACTCCTTTTCTGACAGAAATGGAATACCCATTGGAGCATAATACCGATTGTGCTCTCAGTGGTTTGTAGTCACTCGGAACTTAAGATGCAGCATGGCAGTTATGATCTTCTCGCTTCGTGATTCGGTTATCGGCATTTTTATCGGCCAACATAGCAATCTCATTGGCTGAATTATCATTAGATGCTCCAGAAACCAAAATTTGCGTGAAATGAAGCGTCTGCGCATGCTCAGTTCCGACAGCAGCGCCACCACAGCGGAGTCGACGTCAGAGCCGCGTGTTAGTCTATATATATATATATATATATAGCGCTGGGAAGGTGTAGGTATGCGGGACCTTCATGAGTGTGTGAAATGCTCGTTGGAAGAACAGATGCCTACCGATGGCAGGTAACGTTGCGAGGGTCCTTCGGATCGTATCCCTTAATAATTTGCAAAGCTCGAGCAACAATGGCGCCGCTGCCGGGTGGCGGCGCGGTGTGAAGTTGCAGGTCTCCGCCGCCAAGGGGCGCCGTCAGCGATGGTTTCCATTCTGCCTTGTAGCTCTTCAGATCGTCCGCGTTTATGACTGTTGGAAAAGCCAGTAAAGGTATGTCTGTATAGACGACACGACTCTGCCAACTATACTACACAAGTGTAGAACTCGGAAATTAACTATACAGAAAAGTGTCTTCCGATAGAGTTCTTTTTCCGCATCGCATGTATGCATAGGTATACTTATAAAATCGTCCTTTGGAGCATACAAAAGATTGTAAAACAGAAAAAAAAAAAAACGCGTGTAACGGTTTTCTAACGGCAAAGGTGAGAACACTCGGCCAGCACTGCGATCCGATGGAGCCACAATCAGGCGGCACCAAAAGTGCATCGTCACGGCGTTCGCTTTCTTTGCGGGATTTGCAATAATCGGCTACCCGCTAAACCCCATCACGAGCAGAAAATACGCGGAAACGCGGCGCATTCAACGCGTGTGATTGGCTAAGTGGTAGCAGACGCGCAGAAGCGATGGGCATCGATGCACTTTTGGTTTGGCGGCTTGGTGGTTAGGTGACAAGTGGCGCCATCTCGTCGCAGCAACACACACCATGAACTTCTAGCGCCATCTGGAGTACTGATGGCACACTACCGGAAGTATATCCACCAACACAAACTGTTTACAAAAATAAGCCCGCCTTTGCCCACGCCGGCTGTGGGCACGTGCGCCTGCGCAGAAACCAGAATTGCGCCGAGTGAAGCGCATGCGCAGTGCCGACAGCAGGCAGCGCTTCCTCTCTGGCGTGCACGTCAGAGCCGTCAGAGGGTTGAGTCGGTCCAGAGCCGTTTATTTTGAGAGAGTTTGGCCAATGGGCGGAGCTTGTTGCCCGCTAGAACCAGCGGATTTCGCGAAAACACAAAATGGCGTTACTTCTTTGTTTTGTTTATTCCTGAGATATCGCATAGAGTTCCTATGAGTCAGAGCCAGAAAATGGCGGACGGAAGTAGTCATCCCAAGGGCTGTCAGACTACGCTGCTGTGGTTGCCAGGCAAGCTCTGAGTCGGTCCCTATCACTGATCTCTATGTCTATTTCCTGGATCGCGTTTGACCAGCTCCTCCTATGGAGCGGAATGCGGTCACTGGCGGCCATCTTTAGGTAGAGTTATCCCTAGTAAAAAAAATCATTTGTATGAGAAATTTCTTGTGTCCAATAAACACATATGAATCATACAAGATATATAAGAACATACAAGAACATATAAGAATTATATGAGAACTATATAAGAATTATATAAGATATATAAGAACCCCATAAGAAACTTATAAGAAAGTTCCCACTAGTTTCTCATATGGTGCTTGTGTGTTCTCATATATCTTATATAGTTCTTATATGGTTCTTATACGGTTCTTATATGTTCTTATATATCGTGTATGATTCATATGTGTTTATTGGACACAAGAAATTTCTCATACAAATGAGAATTTTCAGTAGGGATATCATCTCTAGCCATCATAGTAATATGGCGGACAGCGCAATGGCGGCAGGCTGCCATAAAAATAGCCATAGATCTAGTACACTGTACCGTGGGTGACATTTCGTGCTTGATTGAAGTTGTTCGACGAAGCAGATTCTTGAAACCCGGCGTGAACGGTAGCCTCATCTTTGAGGACCCGACAAAAGTTCTACGAAAGCGCAGCACCGGGGGAAAGCAGCGCAGCTCGCATCAAAAGCAGACTCCGTACCGTCGTCTGCTTTCGATGCTTCTTTCGATGCGACTTTCGATACGTGCTGTGCTGCTTTTCTTCCGGTGCTGCGATTTCGTGAAACTTTTACCAGGTCCTCAAAAACCGAACTGCTGTTCACGCCGGGTTTCAAAAACATGTTTCGTCAAATAATTTTAATCAAGCACGCAATATCACCCACGCTATTTTGATCGCAGCCTGCCAACCCACCTGCCAAAACGCTATCTGCCATGGATGGATGATAGCGGCTGCAGCAGCTTACATTGGCTAGAGGTGATATAACTCTACCTAAAGATGGCCGCCAGTGACCGCATTCGCGGAGCGGGCAAACGCGATCCAGCAATTGTCATAGAGATCAGTGGTCCCTATAGACCTTTGTCCGGAAGTGCTCTTTTTAGCCTCCACCACAAGGAGCAAAAGCGAACAATAATCTCGAACCCAGACGCTCACGGGGAGGGGGGGCTGCGTCGGCCTGCGCCGCCGCTTCCCGTTGAAGGCTTCTTCGCTGGTGTGCCGACTGCCATTTCGCCGGCATCGGTCCTGTCTACCGCGGTATGTGAGTATAGTGCCCGTAATGTGAGAGCCGTGTGTCCATACGCCACTTTGCCGCTGTTGGTTTTCATCTAGCCGAGCCAGAAAACATCTCGCGACGAGTTGACCGCGCCGCGAGTGACGAAGAAGAAGCAAACATGGCGACGGTTTGTGCGATTGCTTTGGTGGCTCCGGTGTTGAGTGTCTTCAACGTCCTCGTGAGAAGGTTCCCCTGCCCTTCGAAGTTATTGCAAGCACCACGAAAGATGTGGAATCATCGTCTCAACTACAAATAAGCAGGCCTTCACGAGCAACAACGGCGCCGAGCAGGCGCTCGGCACAGTTGTGTCAGGCTCACGCAGCCAGCGGCACAGTTGTGTTGGTTGTGTCGTCAGATGTTCAACAACGCCGAGGTATTTTCATTTATCATTTGGAATGGCTTCAAGAGTGGGAAATTAATCTATTTCGCGGATTTTTAACGCCGAGGCGAGTGCCCTCCGGTGCAGTGCCGTCGTCGTGCAAAGTGCAGAGAAAACCGGGTGGCGATGGCGGCGGTGCTCTTTGATCTTGCGCCGTCGGGTTCATGAAGTCCGGAGTAAACGTACGTACGTGCGTCTGCTGGATCGGTGTTTTGGACTTCCTCAAAACTCTTCTCACGCGCATTCTCCTTGTGAAGCTTAGTAGCTCATTACACCTCATCGTCGACTGCGCTCATTTGACTACGACGGACGAGCCTGCGTGATGTGAATTTCACTGCCTAAGATCCTCTGCGTGCTGTAACGAGGGCTAATAAAATATCACCGCGAACTTCTGAACAAACGAGTCGAAGTTTCGTCTGCTATCATGACTGATCGCCTGTCACAATATTAATCAGTAGCGTTCCTAGACTCCGCCCCCACAGGCACCGTGCTTCGTTGCCCGACAGTAAGTGTCTCCTGGTACCTCGTAGAATTCCAGCTCCCACTTCAAGTAAGTACCATCCTTTAGAACTGGCAATTAATAGTTTCGAACCCAGACGCTTGCAGTGTGTGTTTGCGTGTGTGTGTGTGGGGGGACGCGTGCTCACATACTCGGAGCCCTCGTTTACGCCGCTTCGCAGCGGCAGACAAGGCGCCACATCACAAAAGAAAGCTAATCCGAGCTGTCTATGTAACTAGACCCATTCGCTAGTCATTCGATGAAACGTCGTCGTCTCGTTTTCATTCGCTAAAACGGCGTTCGATCAAGTGAACGCCTCCCACTTATTTCGGCTCGGCAGAGCCGCGCTGCCGCAGAAAGGCAAGCAGATCGCGAAAATCGGTCTCAAACGTGCCACGAATGTAATGTCGTATACAAGAAGCCAACAATCAAGCATTTGAAAGCTACAAGAAAGCGGTAGCGAAATATTTACTACGCAATGAACCCGGACTGAAACGCGGATGTCAAGGGTCAGCAGACACCGAGAACATCTAAGACAAAAAAGGTTTTCCCTTATTTTCCTTGATCGAGATGGGTTCTCGAATGTTCACGACATCTTGCCTGTTGAAGAACGGGCCGCAGAGGCTTCTGGTGAAGACATCTTTCACGATGTGTCGGTGCATTCGGACAGCCTGCCGCATCCAGCTACCCAAAGCAACGCCGCCAACGCAGCCCCCCCCCCCTCCCTGCCTGCCAGTTCTTTCCGCGTGGTGGCGCGAGCGTAGATAAACATGACCTCGTAGACCTCGTAGACATAGACCTCGTACTGAGTTGCGGTGAGCGGACGTGTTTCCTGGTTCTCCTCGAGCATCCGAAGCTAAGTGCCAGTTTTTCTTCTTTTCTCTCTCTTTTTTTGAGAGTTGATTGGAAGCGACTATGCGGTAGCAGTATTAGGTTTGAACAGCAGCAGTTAACGTTAGTTTCGCAAAGTAGGCTCTGTTTGAATTTTTGGCGGGAAGGGACGGTTTGTTCCCGGTCTAGACATGGGTCTAGATTTGGGTCGGCATGACAAGGGTGGGGACGAGTTGGTGCAGTGCGAGGGGTGTGGGATGTGGTGTTACCTGGAGGAGACGGGTTTCGGGAGCCTGGAGGTGGCGGCGGAGGTGAGTTTCGAGTGTCGGCTTTGTGTGAAGCTTCAGCAGGTAACTGGGGAATGGGAGGGTAGAGTTCGGGAGATTGAGGCCCAGCTTAGGGCAGAAGGAGAGAAGCGGGTGGGTCTCGAGGCCCAGGTAGAGGAGCTGACTAGGCAGCTTAATCATGAGAGGGAGCAGCGGGTCGGCCTCGAGAAGCAGGCGGAAGAGCTGGGGGAAGTATGGAAGGCGGGTTTAGAGGAGCGTAAGAGGGAGTGTGACAGTAGGGTAGAGCGCCTGGAAGGGGTAATTCGAGCGAGTGAGAGTAGCGAGGGAAGAAAGGAGGAAGTGTCAGTTCTAGCGGGACGAACCACCAGTCTGCAGGCTGGGGTCCCTGGTGGTCGGGAGTCCGGCCTGTTGGCAGGCGGGCTCGACGACGCTGGAGAGCTGATTGAACCTCAGCTCAATGGCGCCTTCGAGCAGCAGGCGTCGGGCAGTCAGGTGACAGGAGATAAGTCGCAGGACAAAGGCGCGCAGGCACCAGGGGGATCTAGGGTACTGGTAGTGGGGAGCTCTAACGTAGCACGGGTTAGGAGGGGTGTACATAACAGGGTGAAGGGAGACCAGAGGGTAACCGTAGAGGTCCAGCCAGGGAAGTGTATGGTGGATGCTATGACCGCAGCACGTGAGGGGGTGTGGGATAACCGGGAGGGAAGGAACCTAGTAATAGTTCATGCGGGGCTTAATGATGTGCTGAAGGGTAGGAGCCAGAACCTCGGAAAGCAGCTAAACGTG